TTTTTTTAACTTCTTAATGCACCAACCTCTAAATGTATTTTGAATCCTTTGTCACAGTGTGTTCTTTTTAATCCACCAGGTACCATTTAATCTGCATGGACCCCACGGTGTTTTAAGTCACCTAAAGTACCTTCTCGATAGAAAGGGATCTGCTGTCGTATGTGTGGCAGAGGGGGCCGGGCAGGTTTGTGAGAACATGCTTTACCTTTCGGGAGTTGAATACATTCAGATATGGATAATAATTGCAGATTTAACTGAGGGAAGAGTATATTTTTCTGCCTCTTCCTTGGCATAAATATTTGTCCATTATTTTCTACATGGGACTTTGCACAGTAGCACTTTTTTTTGGGGGAGAACAGAAAAATGACTGGCTGATGAACACCACTCAGACAGGAGTCTCTTTATGTACTTTTGTACTTTGCTTGTGAATTTGGACTTGGTGAAAAAAAAAAAAATTGAGCCTTACCACGATTGTCCCCCGCATTTGTGTGCAGGATCTTCTTGAGAAAACGAATGCTACAGATGCATCAGGAAACATCGTATTAGGAGACATTGGTGTCTACATACAACAACAGGTTGATTCCTTCACCCCCAGTTCTACTTTATTATATTATTTTCCTATAAGTAATAATGAATTATTCATTGCTTTCTCGAATCCAATTTGAACTTTTGTTTGTTTTGTTATTCGGAGCTCAACTTTCTATTTTGGTCTGTAATACCTGCCATTAACACCAATTGTATACTCATCTACAGACAAAGAAGTTTTTTAAAGGGATTGGATTCCCAGCCGATGTGAAATACATTGATCCCACCTACATGATCCGAGCATGCCGTGCAAATGCATCAGATGGCATTCTTTGCACTGTTCTTGGTCAAAATGCTGTAAGTCTTCCGTTCAATCAGTCTTCCAATAAATATATATATATGTATATATAAAGGAAGAAGAAGAAATAAAAAACACACTCGCTGATGATTGTACCAATGTATTATCTTACTAGTTACTTAGGCTAGTAAACGTAAGTTGCTTAGGCAATTAATATATGCTATATACGAAAAACTGCATTGTCAGGTTCACGGTGCATTTGCTGGGTATAGTGGGATCACGGTCGGAATATGCAATACTCACTATGTGTATTTTCCGATACCTGAAGTCATTAGGCAGCAAAAGGTTGTCGACCCCAACAGCCGCATGTGGCATCGTTGCTTAACGTCCACTGGCCAACCAGACTTCATCTAAAATATTATACACATTTAAGGTAATTTATTTATGCACAACAAAAACATGAAACTTCATACGGGAAGACCAGACAAACAGGTGGCAAAATATGTCGCGCAAGGTCTTTCCAGATTCCTTCACTATCAGTGTGTCAATTGCATTCGCATTGCCATTCAGCGGTGGTTTTGTAAGTGTATATCGTGAAGCAAGCCTTTTGTCAAAGGTTAGCAGTCGGTGTAGGAATAAAGCTACTTTGACGTAATTATTTTGACACAATGGATGATAAAAAATTATGTGTATGTTTAATAGTTGTTGATTTATAAAGTGATGTGATGTGTAGAGTAATAGGATTGCTACACGTGTTATTATGTCAAATTTTATGTCATCCCTTATGTTACTGTAGCATGATTTGTTGAGCTTAAAGGTGTTGTACTAACTAGAAGGAAACAGTCCAAAACATTATCTCCTCGCCTACTTTCTTTTGTTTATATAATAAATCCTTCAGTTCTCGGGTTATTCAATGTCTAAATGTCTATTATCTTGTATAAGAACTATAACAATTAAGTTGATGCAGTTTAGAGAGCAATAATTTAATGTTTTTGAAGTTCAACATCAACTCAAAATATTAACATCAATTACGCAAATGATGTCACGCCAAGTCTCCATTATGTATTATGCTTTCAAGAGAACGAATACACATACTTAGTTATCGTCTGAATTCTTACTCAAAATTCTTACTCAATTTTCAGGAACGAAATGCAAAATAATGTAACGATTAGCTTGCAGTTGAGTCATCAACATTTGGCATTAGTTTGATGTCATAATTCAACAGTTCCAGTGGTGTGTGAAAAGGTCTTTAGCCTTCTAAAACTGTTGGATGATGGTATAAACATCTTGTACGCCGTCAATGATGTCACTTCGACAGTCTCTACTATGGAACATGCTTGAGGCCACTAACAAAAAGCACGGCAATATTACTCGAGACTGTGTATTGGAGTCGAATTGCATGATGACCTTGATGAAACTCAAGATACTTATGAATTAACTGATGAGGAGAAAGTCGTGGTAAATGAGAAGAATATATGTCATGCTAATATTGATATGAAATGGATATAATAATTGTTTCACCATTTCGAAAAGAAATCATGAGCTTGAAAAGCATGTGCTCGATATTTGGGAGAATTTTCCTTACATGGACCGTCGAACACGGCTCCTTCACCCCATTTCGTTTTCGCGTGCAACATGACGGGAATAACCATCTGCTCTCTGGATCCTCGCTACCGGTTTCGCTCCAACACATTTTAGAAGTTCACCAGAAAATCAAAGTAGTAACATCAATTACGCCAATGATGCAATGCCCACAGTCTCTGTTATGCATATCATGGTTCCAACTCTCTCATAACCTACAATAGAGCAATAAGAGAACGCTCACATAAGCGGACATAAAGATTCTTCAATCCTTGAAGTTCGCTGATGTTAGTCTTTGTGTACTTTCCTTATATTGCTCTATTGTAGGCATATGCGAGAGTTGGAAGCATGATACATAATTGAGACTGTGGACGTGACATCATTGGCTTAATTGATGTTACTGCTTTGATTTGATGATCAACTTCTAAAATGTGTTGGAGCGAAAATCGGTGGTGAAGATCCTCAAAGTTGAATTGTTGTTCCCGTCACGGTTCACGCGAACACGAAATGGCTGCGGTGAGCCATGTCCGACAATGCGAACCTACTTATTGTGTTTTTGTGTTTCTTTTTATGTGTTTTATGTGTGTAGTTGAGTCGGTTTTAGGATTATTTTCTTGTCTAACTGGTCCATTTTAGTCGTTTCGTGCGCTTTTATGTCTTTCCTTTTTGTTTTATGTTTTGGCATACTTTTTCGTGCCTTTTTGGTGTAATTTTCAGGTTTATTTACAGGACGAAAGCGAAGAGTCGAGCCAAAATCCCGAGAAACGAGCATTTCCAAGGAATCTCGAGTCATTTTCGGGAAGTCTCGAGCCATTTCTTACTGAGTTATTTTCAATCCGAGTGTTTCCGAGCTATACCCGATCAATTCCGATATTTCGAGCCATTGTCGATTGAAGACGTGTCTTGCCCTGCCAGCACTTGCGACCTTGTGCCCCAGCCCGCGCGCTTGCGAACCCACGTCCAAGCGCCCTGCACGCCCGCAACTCGCCGGGAAGTCGGCGACCTCGTGAGTGTCGCGATGCCCGAACTCGCGACCACGCGAGCGAGACCGCGACCTCGCGAGTGGCATTTTTCTCGCACCTGCGCCAACGACCAGCGGGGCAATTTAGAGACCTCGCGAGTGTTTTACTAATTGTGCGTGAAATCAATGTGTTTTAGCTAGGAGTATAAATATATTTGGTCATTTGCATCTTAGGTACCTAGACTCATTATGAAATATTTCCTCTTTAGGATCTTAGTTTATGTTTTCATCTTTCTCTCTAAACTATGATGTATGGAGCTTAATGACCTTGGTTTTTCCGACAAGTTTTCCGGCGAAGTTGTTTTTGTAATTTTTTTATCTTTCTTTTTTTCCTTGGTTTGCTAAGATAATTAGAAGTCAACTGCGTGCTTATCTTGTGTTGAATGTTGGAATGATATTGAAAGCTCGATAATTTAGGTTAGAAGGCTCGTTTTGACTATCTAGGGTCTTAGTACTCGCATGCTTCTCTTATTTTATTTTCGTTTTTCCCAAGTTTGAAGACTCTGATTTTATCTAGATATAATCGTTAGTTAAAATTTTAATCTTGAGCTATTGCCTTTAAATTTTTGTCTAAATTAGTTGAAAAATCCTCTCAAACCAATCGATTAGAATGTTTAAGTCCTTATTTTCTCGTTCTTGTGTGTTGTGGATGATCAAGTAGTAGACAAAGCTTCGAATAACCTTCGTTTGAGAATGACTCGAGGTTGTTAGCTCGGTTACCATCGACCCCACAAAATACTACAAAACAAAACCACAATGGGACAATTCTTTCGAATATTGGGCATATGATTTTCAAGATCATGATTTCTTGTTGAAATGATGAAACAATTTTTATATCCGTTTCATCTGCTAGTTTTTCGTTGTTCAATTATGAACAACTCCAACAATAGTAGTCTATAAAAATATCTTACAATGTTAAATGCATGTTCTCTAGAAAAAATCTCAAAAATGAATCATGAGCTTGAAAAGTGTTTGCCCGACTGTCGGTTCGTTCTGCCGAACACGGAACACGTCTTCATCAATGTCGTTTCGCCGTTTCGTTTTTGCTCCGCTTTAACATTAGGTTCTTTTGTTAAAATAAAACAAAACAAAACAAAACAAAACCGCTGAAACCGGTCCGAAACCGGGTAAAAACCTTCGGGTCAGGGCTGGTTCAAGGAATTGTCCCATTGAAATAGCTGGGCAGGTTACGGACCCAGTAGATGAGGCCCGATGATCCAGTGGGCCGGGCCGGTGTCTACTTTCATATTCCCTAGAATGAACAACATTATTACAGTACATCTAAGCTTATGGTCAAAAGAGTGATGATTTGGTAAAACTTCGGCCATTGCAGCCAACGACTCTACATTTTATACTACTAGTAAAGTGCACGTGCGATGCACATTGTGTCGAATGATTTTTGCGGAGTAAGTTTGTAAAATAAATTAATTTATTTATTAAACATATCATTGCATAAATGAAGTAAAATATAGAAAAAATGAGATCATATGTGATTTATTTATTTAGAATTAACATAATGATTTCCTCATATAAAAATAGTGAAATAATGTTTTACAAACCCCAACAAAAATATATATAAAAAAACTAATTCGTAATAAAAAAACACAAAGATTTTCTTTCATTTTAGTTTTAACGTTCTCGTAAAAACATTCATAGTCGTTGGAGAATACATCAATACTATTGCAAAATTCCTCTTAATTAATTTAGCAAAACGCCAATTTTATTCAAACACTTAAGAAACATTTTGACCCAACATATAGTC